AATGGAGCATTTAAATCACATTTTGTTTTAATAAAATTAAATTTGATTAATTTCGTAAATTTATTTATTTTTTTTTATACTACAATTGTTTCGATTCTTGAAGTTTAGTACAATCTGAAGCACTTTTTAAAAGATTCTTAGTTTTTAAAATACCTTTATAATTTAGGCATTTCCTTTTTTTGTTTAAAGGGATTTAGGCAAATATTTTTTCAGCATTTGTTGTGGTTTCTGGAATGCAAAGAGCAGCTGAATACCATTTTTCTCAAAGACGAAACGCTGCACCTCCATCGGCATTTTTATCTTAAAAAATGAATTCTAAGAAAACTGAAAGAGATATTTTAATATATTCGTTCAAATCGGAAACTTAAAAACAATATAATGTGTACTAGGAGGTACTGTGAAAAACTGTAAGCTTGGCTGAAAAACTGCCATTTACAGGTGAATCTGTGCTAAAATGTCACCTTTTTCATTTATTTTTTGAATAGCGCTATAACAGCGACACATTTCTAGCTATCTAACCCCCTCAATGGTGAAAACTGAAGCAGTTGAAATTCCCGGTAGGGAGTAACGTTTGACATGTTATATTGCATAATAAAATTCATGTGGTAATAACCGGGTATTTTCCAGGGAGCGAGAATTCTTTCCAGTTTTGGTTTAGTTCTGCATGAGAACAAAATGTTACATCAAGAACGTTCCCACAAAAGAACCAAACGGGAACAAAAGTATTGAGAGCAATTTAAACTGGTGAAAAATGGGAACAAAACGATTGGGAACGTTTCCGTAAAGAACAAAATGCGAACAAAACTCATGGGAACGTTTTCAAAAAGAACAGAATGGGAACGAAACTTTCCGGAACGTTTCCATGGGAACAAAATGAGAACGAAAGTATTGAGAACGTTTTCAAGGAAGATCAAATACGGATAACAGTCTGGGGAGTATTCTGCTAGAGAATGAAACGAGAACAAAACTTTTGAGAAATTAACATTAAGAATACCGCTCCCAGTGTGCGTGTTGGGATGAACAATCGTTTCAGTGAGAACTACGATTGTTAATGCTAAGTTATAGGAAAGCTGGATCATTTCATCTTCCAGATCGTTTGTCATTAGAGTAAGTGTCCATTTATGGAGCAATTTTTCATTATTTGTGCAAGAAGACCTCGTGGCTTAAGTCTTTCGTTGACTTAATTTGCATAGTTATCTTTCAGCTTTTCCCCGCCCGGCACCTTTATTTATGACCAGTTTTTATTTTTTCTATTCTACGTACAAAATTGCTTGTACATATGTATATATTTTTAAATTCCAAAAATTCTACTTTGTAAAGTTTATAGCAAGGTAAATTCATATAAGGTGGTGTTGCTGCTTTGATTTGCCTTGGTACACATATGTCAAAATTCCTTATGAGTGTGTGCGAAAATAAGAGTGTTGGAATTTTTTTCCCTCTTCCTCCTTGAGCGAAGAATAGCTGAAATTGACATTTGCGTACTGAAAGCGACAACAAAATACATGTTAGTTGTTTTTGTACTATCGCTACCACTTTATATAAAATCGACTTGGAAAAAAAGGCTTCTGCAAGAAAACTAAAAAGCTATAAAAAAAATGTATGCATATAGAAAGCTTGCTTTGTAGTATGAGCGCCTGGTATTGGGAAATGAAAATATCGTTTTGTATAAATTAAATATTGGTTCGTTTTATGAAATTGACCGCCAATTCTCTTACAAAAAATAAAAGCTGTTGCTTACTTTTGGTCCTAGGTAGCACTTTACCAAATTTTATCAGTAGTACACAAGCAGAAGCAAAACAATATTTTTTTCTACTATTGCGACTTTGTTCTAGAGCAAGGCATATTTTTTCAGTGTAAACAGTACTGATCGATCAAAAGGCCACAATAACATTGACAAATACAAAAGTGTATTCATTTAACCAAAATTTACAATCAAGGTGATAGCGAATGTTCATGTTACATTCACATTTTGTTTGTAATTTTTCCGTTTCGGTCTCTGTCAGAAATTTCCTGAGATTTTAGTTCCCAAATGGTTATTCGAGAGAAAGTTCCTTACACCTTTGTTCTTATTTTGAACTTTCCCAGAACATTCTGGAGACTTTTGTTCCCATTTTGTTCTCTTAGAAATGCCTCCAAAAGTATTGCTCGCATATTGTTCTCTTTGGGAACGTTGCACAAGGTTTTGTTTTTATATGACTCACGTTGAGAACGTTCTCGACAGTTTTTTTTTCACTTTCGTTCTTTCTAAAAACTATCCCAAAGTATTTGTTCTCATTTCGGGTTAGGTTTTTAAGCATTTTTGGCAACAAAACTACGAGAACGGCATTTAGTTTCGATTATACCTTTTGTTCTCGGTCCCTGGTATTTTCCATTATTCTATATAAAAGGGTGTGTTCAATGTTGGAATACCATTTTGTCCCTATCAAATACATAAATATAAATATGTACATATGTAGATGAGGCTCTGGCCCTCTCAGCACTATGGTTTAGTCCTGAATAAAATCTCATCCAAACTACCTACAAATTTTAAATTAATTACCTCTTTGTAGGGAAGACATATCATACATATGCAGATCTTGGAAACTGTAGGAGGCTATGAATGTAAATGTCTGTGAACTTAGAAACAAATGCTAATACTTTTGCTTAAATAGTTAAGCGATCGTTAAGTTACATATGTATTTATGCTCGTGTATGTGAATATACGTATACATATATACTCATGTACGCATAGTACTTTGATTAAAATTTTATGCTCTAAAATATATGTGTCTAATTTTAATATCTAATAAGCTATATAGCTTCTATTCATAAATTATATTTTGCATTAATTTTTCATATACAATTTGGGTTACTCAATTTCAAAAAGTCGTTGTTCAATTTAGGCTCTTAATGTTCCTCGTCTTCATTGACACTTTTATATATAATTTTACAAACATACATACACATAGGTATGTAGTATGTATACTATGTTTGTTGGAATATCATTCTAGTTTTGACTTATAAATATTTGCTTTATGAAAAGATTTCTTGTCGTCCATCTTAAAATTATATTTCGTGGCAAGCAAATCATCATTTGTGAACGCGATGAAATATGATTTCTCTCATTCAACGTTAACCGTTTCTTTACGATCTTTCAAAATCTACTAGACTATTTAGCTTTCAATCAAAATCAAATCATTTCATTTAATTAATTGACAATTAATCATTCAAACAGCTAAAATGCGTGCATTTATACATACGTATTTAAGTATTAAGTTTACAGTGATTTCGGCTTCTAAGAATACTTTTATATAAGACTTAAAATTTTAATGACTGTTTACTTGAATGCTTTGCAAATGTCTTTTATTGCTCTAGGTATCAATTCTCGATTCTAAGTATATCTTTCGGCTTAATTTTTTTTGGGTGTCTGAATTTTGGTTAATATTTTCCTTTTTTGTTTACTTTTCCACACCATTGAATTTTTCGAATTGCTCACAGTTTCAATTTGTTTATGATTTTGCTTTAAATAGAAAATAAATGTATAAGCTTAACTTTGTATATAAGTAAATATGCATGTGTGCATGTACATACATAACATATTTTTGAACCAAGTTCATCCACATGTNTTTTTTTTTTTAATTTATAAATAATAAACTTATTTAGTTTACTTATAAATTAATTGAAATACGTACATATGTATTTAGTTTTAATTAACATTATATTTATTTTGCTTTTATTATATACTTGATTTATGATTAAGTATTGTCCTTGTGATATGTTTCTAAATGTTTGCTCTCAATTTTATTATTTTCGAGTAATTGAATGTGATTACTTAGGTAAGTATGTATGTATGTATGTATGTATGTAGTAGAGTCGAGAATTGGAATTAGCGAAAAGTACGTTGGGCTTAAATTAATAGATTTGGACTAGAAAGCTAGCGTAAACCAGACAAATTGGTATGAAGATAGCTCATATCTTTAATGGCAAAGCTTAGAAAATTCTAATGTTTCAGCAAAAGTACGTACATATATAATACTGGGTTATAAAAAGTACAGAGAAGAAAATCCCAAAAATAATTACATGTTTTCTAAAAAATAATAAAAATCTTGTATGTATGATATAATACTAAATCCATAAAATTTGCTTTGTTATTTGAGTTGATATATTTTCATGCGCTTAAGGGTAAATTCTGCGCATTCGTCTTCGTCTTAACTTTAGTATTCGTCTTCACCTTCGTCTTCGTATTCAAACTTGTCTTCCTATTCATTTTCGTCCTCGTGTTTGTCGTAGTCCTAACCTTAAACAACTGCATAGCATATTCCCGATAGTATACTCCCAATATAAATTCAGGTGGAAGTACTCTTTCTATATCATTCACTCTGGAAAAAAAGTAGCCACAACTCTAAAAAAAAAGCCGAATCGCCACTGCGAAAAACGGTTGGAAAAATCTACACAAATTCAAATCCGCATAAAAATCGCATAAAAAGAGTAATTTCAGACTGAAATGTAATGAAGTCAATTAATCTTTTAATTGAGCTACCGCTTTTTGGTGTTCACACACAGTCAGCTGCTCGATTAGCGACACACAGTCAGTTGCTTCATTGCCAACAGTGATGGAAAAGTTGGTACAATCTACAATCGTACCTTTATTTACTTTGAAAGTACACACTACTTTAGGTACATTTGGAACGTAGTTTGACTAGTATTTCGGGAAATTAGTTCACATATTTATTCTCATTTCAGTGTATTTTCTGGTGTGGGTAACTTGTCGTATAGCCTCCCTCTTTTGTGTGAAGATGCATACAAATGATACAAAAGGGTGGTCAAAGTAACGTAACTGTAGTTGATTTCGCCAGACAGACAGAGAATATTTCTTTTTATTACGTCAGATGGAACAACTCGGAGGAAGTGATTTACCTTTTCGAAAATATAATTTTGTACCGAGACAGGGCGTTTTCGAACTGGCTGCCGAGATAGGTCGATCTTCCACTCAGCCATCGATATAACATTCTATTAACCAAGAAAAAAATAAATTAATTTTAAAACGGTTTGCATATGCTAATTTTACAAAATAAACAATAAAAGTAAGTTTAAACGATTTAAAGCTGACTTTGCCTTTGCCTTTGTCTTTGGTTTTACGCTGAGCTTATCCGTTTAAATTGCTTAGGTATTCAAAAATGTTGTTATGCTTTTGTTATATGTATTGCAGTACTTGTAAAATTGCCATTCTAAGTAAATTACTATTATTTTTATGCAATTTATTATTTTAAGAATAGTTTAGTCTAATTTATTTAATATCATTTTGTATCATGCCTTTTTGGTAATATTTTGCTTTACTTTAAAATATATGTATATGAAATACTCTAAAAAAATATCAACTGCTTCTCATGCTTTCTATTACATTATATATTGTATATATATATGTATGTAAATTGTATAATAATGTATTTATGTTTGCAAATGTAAGTGCCTACGTATACTCACTTACACACATATGTACTATGTATGTGTATATAAAACATGCGTGAATATTGGCTCTGATCTTAGCCGAAGATCACCCAAAACCTCAAATAATTAGCGCCTTGCTATTCGCTCAGCTAATTGAGCCTACATATAAGGGTGTTCGGTTGACTTGTGAATTAACTATATGTATGTATGTATGTATAAGTACTTTTCGCTCTTAATGTATTGCACTACTCACTGGCTTTCAACTTTAACTTTGTAGTTGTTAAATTTTCACTATCACTACTATATCAAATGTTCGTCTGCCTTAAGTGCCAACAAAACACATTTTACGTTTCAAATCTCTTATCAATAAATCCTAATAATATCTTGTTCATAATAATTTTAATAGTAATAATTTTGTATATATAGAATTTCTACTTATGTTCCATAATATTCGTTGCATGGGATTTTTACTTAAAGTTGGTAGGTTTTGTATTGTTTTCATTGCGTTTTGCAAAATGTACAGCTTTTGCTTTTTTCAGTTTTTGTATGTATTTATGTATGTATGCATGGTATGTATGTTCTTCAACTATCGAACTTTTTGCTATAGAAAAAACTATTCTTACGTGTTTTGAGTTTAATTACAATTTCTGTTGTAAAAGTGTGGAATATGTTTTCTTTTTAATTGTTAAAACTACTCGTATCTTACTGTGCTCTTCAAAGTCCAACCCTTCCCAATTACATACATATGCATGTATTTCGATCTATTCAAGCCTATGCTACGACAATATCTTCGTCGTTGTCATCACTGCTTTGCGCTGTCGTAGATTCGCCTTCGCCTTCACCTTCGCCGCCATCGCCATTATCCGCGTACAAGTCTGTCGCTTCTCCGGTGCCCAAAACATCCTTGAGGCATGATGACTCCAGATGCTTGTTTAGGTACGATTTCAGAGCGAATGTTTTGTGGCAACGCTTGCATTCGAAGTTCTTATCGATCGAGTGCGTTTGCATGTGCGCCCGCAAATTGGAGCGATCGGCGAATGCCTTGCCGCAATGTGAGCAAGCGTATGGTTTCTCGCCGGTGTGTGAGCGTAGATGGCCCTGCAACAGCCAGGGTCGTGAGAAGAGTTTTCCGCAAATGTCGCAGCTGTGCGAGAGTTTGTGAGTCAGCAGATGCATGGCGAGAGCCGGCATGGAAACGTAAGCCTTGCCGCAAGTATTGCATTTCTTCGCTGATTGCGAGTCGAGCGAGCGGTGCGTCTGTTTATGACGTGAGAGGTTGCTTGAGGTGGCGTACTGTTTGCCGCATTCGGAGCACTTGTAGCTGCCCCGCTTCTTCTTCACATACGAATCGGTGTCCGTGGCGCTGGAGTCGAAACTTCCAGCCGTATGCGTTTCGATTGGTTCCTTGCTGCTGCGGCTAGCCTTGGTGCGGCCATCTAATATATTAAGACCGAGTTTGATGGAATGATTTGCTTTAGCCTCCGTAGAATCTTCAATTGTCATTGAGTTTGTGGATGTACGCCGCACTTTGTACGATGATGGCTCATCGATCCACAACTTGAGCGTTGCTTGATAATTCGAGCTGGAATGCCCCGAATCCGACGAGGAGGACATGTCGATGTCAATGTCAGATGAATGATCCGAATTTGGTGGTGTTAGAGGCGAGCAATTTTCGGAATTGTCCGGTGTGTTTGCGCCTGTATGACTGTCATATGAGTTGCTGCTGCCGCTGCACATATAACGTATTTTTGGCGGTCCCTGATCGAGGGCCGCTCGCGTGTGGTGCGGCGTCGAGACATCTTGCACGGTGAATATGGTAAAATTATCCGCGGCAATGGTTGCAGCACAGAGTGGTGGTGGCACGGCTCTCTGCTGTTTGGAAGCACTGGATATCTCATGCATGATGGGTGTTAGTTGTGTTTGGTGTTGGTGCTGGTTTTGATGGTGCGCTGTGCTATTGAGATTGCTGTTGGTTGACGACTCCGGATGCAGGATGGTGACGACACAAGGCGGTGTTAGTGGCGGTAGACTTTGCGATAGTGAGAGTAAATCGTGGGCGGCTTCGGTCTCCTCGATGCTGCGTTCGCGGTAAAATGACGGCAACACGGGCTCCTGTTTGATCATGAACGCTGGCGTATGGCTGGAAGGTTGACTGGCATTGAAGCCACCAGCAGGTGGCGCATAGAATATAACTTTACCATCTTCAGCGGGCGAGCGACCGGCAGTCGTTGATGGAGCAGTTACGCATTTGTTGGATGTGCTGCCATTGCCGCTGGCGAAGGAGTTGTCACGGTTGTTATTTCGAGTGTTCCACTTAACCACGTTACGACGTGGCTCAATTCTTGCACCATCTGGAAGCGAAAACAAATAATTTTTAAGCAAAAAACAAAACCGAATTTAATTCTCACATAAAAATTTAAGATTATCGTTAATCGCATTTAAATCAAATAAGAATGGGACCACCTCTGAAGTAACACTTTACCTTTAAAAAAATAATTTTAGAAATCGGCTAACGTGGTCCAAAGTTATGCGGCAACATTCATACAAAAAAAATATTCGGACGAACTGATAACCTTCCTCCTTTTTGTGAAGTCGGTTGATAAAAATTAACAACAATAAAGAATCTTAAGAGATGTCAAAAGTATATCACAATAATTTATTTGGGTTTGAGTTACCGTAGAATCCCAACGAAAGCGGGGACCTAATGTTTTGTAACCCCTCAAAGCTACCCTTAGACAATTTTTTTTATAAACAATGTGCCAGTATACATTGTCAATATTAGTATTATTGTATCTCAAATTGTTGGTTAGTTAAACGAAGGGAGTCCCTAACACAGTGTGGCCAAGATATCTTCGGCTTCCCTAATGAATCCCATCTGCAGGGCATTTGGTAGGCGAACTCTTTATAACAAAGGGTTTGACCATTGAAGCTGTAAAATGGATCAATATTTGTCTGACCAAAGCCGGGAAGGGACAGACAATGTGCTTTGCAGTTTCATCATCTTCACCTATTCGGTGTAAGTGGATTCGCAATTGGTTGTGACCAGTCAGGTAATGAGAAAGTAGCCTGATGTGGTTTCTATTTTCTAAAATAATATAATTTCTATTGAAAGAGTAGCCGGAGAGTCTGGCCTGTCTAAGGCCCATTTCATAATCTTGTTTGAAAGGGCCCGGATGGCTACTTGTTTATCTGAAAAGATATTTGACCTCATCGGAATATTCAAGCACTGTGCCTCCAAGGGTGAACGAACCAAGCATTGGTTTATGCTTTGTCGTAAACTGTACAAGAAAAGCCTTTCGAGGATTTATACTGAGGCTCTTACTGGAACCTGCAACTTTTGAGATAGTACTGCCGAAGTTTTCCGAACCTGTAATTGCCAGGTCATCTGCGTACCCCACAACATCGTAACCACACTCATGTAGCCTGATTAAGAGGTCGTTCACAAAAAGTGACCAAAGCAAGGGTGAATGGACACCTCCCTGCGGCCAGCCTTTCACGGCTCTAGTCTTACTTGAGTATTGCTCCAGGACGATGTAATTTCACGCGAATCCGTTGATTCCTTTTGAGTTAAGCAAATTATGTGTGATGTAAGGAAGTGGAAGTGTTCAGTTTCTCCCTAATAGAGAGGTCTAACAGTCTCTCTAAAGTTTTATGAAGTTTTGAGTGAAGGAAGTTAGGCTAAGAGATTTGTATGATTTAGCTACATAAGTCATGGATCCTGTTGCTCGATTTAAGAATAAATAACACGGACATCACGAACCGAGTTGAAGGGTTGGAAAGACTCTATCACCCACCGTACTTTGTCCCTGTCAAAGATCGAACCAGACCTGCTATAATTCTCACTCTGTGTTCTGAGGAGACAGAGGCCATCAGATCACCGAAAAACCTGGGAAATGCACTTGAAGCAGGTGATTTAGGTCTCCCGGTTATCGTTCGTAAAGATCCTTTTGGCCTTTTGAAAAGCCGCCTAGCAGTTTTGTGCTTTGCATCCAGTTCCCCGATCCACCGGGGAACCTTACGTTTTATCGAGATGGAACCAGTAACTCTGCTTCAATTGTGAAGCACCAATAATAACGACAGTAGTGCCAATAAATATGGTGCATCGGTTTTATTCGGTGTATAGAATAGCAAACATCTACATATATTTCCGAGTACCCATATTTGTTTTACACCCCCATCTAATGAACCTATAAATTAATTCGAATGTGATATCTGGTTAAAATAAGACGCCTATCGAAGGATTATTAAAATAAATGAAAACATTGTTTATCAATTTAAGAACAGTTTGAGAAATATTTGAGAAACATTTTTTTACATGGCGCAGATATCGAAGTTCATCAGTAGTCTGCTACATCAGTCGCAAAATGGCTCTTCGACCACGCGGTCGCTGTTATTAGCAATTTGTTTAATTTCAAAATAAACCATGCAACTAATGTTTTATATTAACCGTGTTTTTCTTTGTTAAACTTACTGAATAAATAAGCTATTGAATAAACTGTTAAACTGCATACATCAAAATTCCTTTCCTATAAAAACTGTGTTTCTCTTACATGTATCAATGACAATACTATACAAATAATTCAATAAGAGTAACTGGATTTCATTTCGTTCCGCTACACTCACATTTCAGAAAAAGTTGAGAACTCAACATTTCTCAATTTGAAAATAAAGGAAAATTTCGTATTAAATATGTGCCTTTAAGTTTGAGAACGTTATCAATGGTTATTTGAGATGCATTTGAGAATTAACGTTTGAGATTTGAGAAAAGGACTGATTCTCAAGTGCATCTCAAATTGAGATTTAACAGAAATTTTTCCTGAGAATCCTTCCACCTTCTTACAAGCTCTGCCGTGTGTCCCTTGGATGGTTCACAAAAACGCTGAGGCGAGATTATCAGCCGTTTCATTGCCATCAAAGCCCTCATGACCTGGTGCCCATCACAAAGTGAATGTTTTAAAGATTTATAATTTGTCCATTCTACTTTTTCTGCTGTCTACCACCCTTGTCACTGTTTCACATGATTCCAAAATGGCCGGTTATTCAATGTCTGGTTATCACTACTTCCCGGTTAGACACCATTATCGACGTTTCTGACATCATGCATATAAAATGTGATCGATTTGTACTCATCAGACATTGAACAATCGGCCCTGAGGACGGCAAAATTGTGCATTTAGACAGATGGAGTAATTTTTTGCTTTGTTCAAGGCACATTGAACAGGTAGTATCAGTAGAGCNATACTTTTTCTGCGATCTACCACCCTTGTCACTGTTTTACATGATTCTAAAATTGTGTACGACGACCAGAGTTAATTTCATATATGTAATACTTCTATATTGGCAGTAAGCTAACTTCTCAATAGGGGTATTCTCTGAGTCTTGCAAAGCCCTTGCACGGTGCACGGATTGCACGGTTTGCAAAGCTGCCCCATACGAAAACCGGTTTTTACCGTGCAATCCGTGCAATCTGTGCACCATGCAAGGGCTTTGCAAGACTCAGAGAATACCCCTAATGTGTAAGCATTCCGAAATCAAAGCGAGACAGTCTAGTACCGTTTTTATCAATGTATTGTGTACTTGAGTGCCGTTTTTGTATATATGTTGTGTACATGTGTATTTATAAACGGATGTGTTCCTCTTCTTTCGTACGTGTTTATTGATATATCTGTACG